TGGCCATCCCTGGGCTCTGTCCTGCCTCATACCCCTCTCCTCTGCTAGGGGCCGATTTTCTGTCTTGCACAGCCTCACAAAATCCCAAAGGAAGCTCTGGCAGCCTGGAGCCTTGGGGTTTTTTGGCTGCTGGAGAGCAGTCCTGTGTTTAGCAAGAGGCTGGATGGGTCCCTGGGTGAGCTCAAGGAAAGCCAGGCCCCTGTGCCAGGCCTCTGCAGGGCAGCTTGGTGCACAACTTGGTGAACAACTTCACCAGGGCAAGTTGTTCCCTGGCCTGGTGGATCTCCAGGTCCCTTGCCACTCACCTCGTCCCAGCCCCTAATGGTCACTCTGCTCACTCCTCCATGCCCCCAAGCCCCATTATCCTTCTTCCTGGAATGCTCTTCACTGCTTTCTTCACTCCCACAGTTTGGCTGACTCCTCTTCTTTGAACACAGTGCCCCTGCTCCAGGAAGCCTTCCCTGACCCCTGGGCCAGGTCAGGTGGCCCTTGCCTGGCTTGCTGGCCACAAAGTGAGATTGGGAGTCATTATCTGGGTTCAAGTGCAGCCCTCCCAGGGACATGTGCTGTGACCTTGAGCGGTCACTTCTCACTAGGCCTTGGCTTCCAGGCATGTAACATGGGAGACCCACGTAGGGGGACTCAAGACTCTGGAATCCAACATGGCAGGACATTCGGATTGCCAAGAGGAAGCCACACGGAGCAGTGCCCCTGGGCAGCCCGGACTGATCTTTATTTTGAAGCCTCGTCTCTGCACTGGGGCTCCAGGATGTGTGTGGGAGGGGAGCAGCATGGGAAGGATGTCTCTAGAGGTGGGGGAAGCCAGGAGGTGCTGAGTGATTCTAATAATTTCATAGGATCACAGACACTCAGTGTGGAGAGGGCCTTAAGACTTAGTCAGCGCCACACCTCCATTCCCTAATGAGGAGGAGGCAGGCCCAGAAGGTTTGAGGGATGGGCCCAGTGTTACACACACAGCAGCTGGGGCCAGGGCTGTGACTTCACACACCTCTAACTTGCGCCTTTTTGCTTTTCAGTTCATAAAGCTTTGGGGCTATCCTTATCTTATTTGCTTCTCACAATGACCCTGTGTGTCCCGTGAAGCAGGGATGGTATCCTTGAGTGCAGACGAAGAAAGTGCAGCTCAGAGGAGTCGTGTAACTTGCGTAAGGTCACACAGCCTACAAGTGGCAGGGCACAGTTTGATAGACCAAGGACTGTCTGGTGCTTTCCTTGGCCCATGTTCTTGTTATAAATAGCATTTCCCACTTCCTTTGTCCTGGATTTCCCACTATCCCCCACTCTACCCTGGGGTCAACCCCTCCTCACTGCCCCTAGGATCCCCTAGTCCTTTGTGGCAGCCCATCTGTTGCCATGGCATCAGATTATGATGTCGCAGACCCTGGTTGACTATGTATCACTCCTGGGCTGAGGGACTCACAGAGGTGGGCATTGTCCAAGGGGCAGACTGGCATGGGGGGACATAAATCCCTGGAAACAGGGAGCCATGAGCCCAGCTGCGGAATCACCCTGGGAACCAGAGCCAAGGCCAGCAGAGTAGGGGTCTGGCATGGCTTGCTCTGACAGCCTTAGAACGGCAGCACAGCCCTCATCTCATGGCAGGGCTGATATGGTCTCTTCACGAGGGACTATTGGGCTCATTGCACTGAACGGCCCGACACGGGGTGTTCACTAGGATCTCCCAGAAGAGTCTTTTTGCCTTTTGTCCTTGTGACAAAGCTGCATGGGAAAGCCACATCCCCACTTGCCCAGGTTCACCCCGAGGTGGCTATGCCAGGAGTCAGTCTCCACTCTGACTCCAGATCCTTCCATGTGATCCCACTTCCGGTGGGGCCCTCCAGCGTGCTTTACTCTAGTCCCCACTCCTGGCCATCCATTAGCAGAGCAAAAGCCGTCCCAGGCCTGGGTTTATTCTGCTGCACACTTCTGGGCACATTCCAGGAGACCTGAGAGGTGTTTCAGTACATTTGAGGACTCTCGGGTCCTCATTCTTAGCCTGGTAACACTGAGGTGTCCGAGGGTCTGAATGGAAAGAGATCAAGCTTTGGCAGCTGCCACACAGAGTTGAAATCACACTTCTGCCACCTAACACCCTCACCTCTAAGCCTTAATATCCTCTTCTGTACAATGGGATTAACAACAGCTACCAAGATAGCTGTGAGGAGTCACTGGGATATTGGGTGAAAGGTGCCAGGCCAGAGCCAAAAGGTGCCAGGCCAGAGCCAGAGTGGAAAATCTCCAAGCCGGTCCAGCCAGTGAACAAATCTGTTCCCAAAACCACCACCACAGGGCACTCTCCCTGCAGCTGCCATTTCCCAGCCGGGGCTGACCTCGAAGCTGCCCTCTGGGACAGCAGTAGTGTTTTTGGCTGCTCTGGCCTCCTTGCCCAGTGCCTGCAGGGCTTGGCACATGGAGGGAGGACAAGCTCACCCCCAGGCTTTCAGAATCCCAGGCAGGGCAGGGTTTTTGGGGGGTATCTGGTTGTCCTGTGCCCAGTGACAGAGCCCCATCATCACCTTCTTCAAGCCTGCCCTGATGTTTTGGGCACATCTGACCAGACATCCTTGCCAGACTTGCCTACTTGCTTTTAATTCCCAGAGACTGGGCTGGGCTGATTCTGTGTTCTCAGTGCAGAACGTAGAACAGAAGTAAGGTTCATTGAATGTGGAACTGAAGCTTGCACAGGGCTTGCTCACCTACTGTAAGGTTTTTCTTCCACATCTGATACTGCTGAATGTTTATCTGGGGAGCCATGGTGGGGATGAGCAGGCATCTGACTGTGGGTTCAGATTGTGACCCTGCTCCCCCCATATGTGACCTTGGACATGTAACTTAACATCTCTGGGCCTGGATTTCCTCATACGTCAAATGAGTACATAGCAGGCCCCTTGCCATGAGGTTTCTTGGGTAAAAACACCTGGCAGAGACTGGCACAGGGGAAGCACCCAGTAAGTGTTAGAATGAGAAAAAGAAGAAACTAGGATATACATTTTTTTTTGGATGCTGAGCTTCTTGTGAGGGAAAAACCACTGGTGTTCACATTAGGAAATTCCCCAGGTGCTGTGGTTCATATTGGTACTTACTTTAAGATGATTATGGACTATGATTTACCAATAGGTGGTATTCGTATCTATCACTGACAATGACCTCTCAGTGCAGGAAACAGGGCGGGCTGCTCCAGGGCCCTGGGCTGAGAGGCAGGAGAGCTGTTCTTATCCCTGCCGTGCTGTATTTCCCTAAGCCAGCCCCTTTCCCTTTCTGGGCCTCAATCCACACATCTGAAGGTGGACTCTGAGTCCTCAGGTTTCTTCTAGTTCTGCACATACAGAGGCATTCTTCTAAGCAAAGTGTGAAGAAAATTCATCTTAGAATGCAGATGTACTGCAAAGATTCCACTGAAGAGGACAGGCATGGAACAGCTTCAGAGACCCAGTCTCTCTCACCTAATCCCTGCCAGGCTACCCGGAGGATGGGGAGCAGGCCTGCAGCCCCAGAAGCACCCAGAGGGCCTGTGGATAGATTTGAATAAAGGTGGTCCATGGAAGTAGCTTCCTCGGGAGAAGGCAAGTCCCAGAGCTGCAAGTATGGAGCAGAGGCTGGGTAGCTGTGCTCGCATTTGGCTCAGTGTCCCCCACTGAGACCTACCACCCCAAGCTGGATTCTTGTGAATTTGACAGTCCCTGTGCTGCAGGGACAGGGAAGAAAGCAAACCATGTTGGACTCGTGATCAGTGATGATCTAGAACAGAGATCATCGAAATACAGGCCACAGGCCTCGCCTGTCCCCAGTTTTTGTAAATAAAGTTTTATTGAAACATAACCATGCTCACTTATTTATCTAATGTCTCTGACTGCTTCTGCCCCATAGTAGCAGGGTCGAGTGGTGTGACAGAGACCATTTGGCCCTCAAAGCCTAAATAGCTACTATCTGGCCCTTCACAGAAAAAGTTTGCCAACCTCTGCCCTAGAAGGACACTCAGCGGATTGTGGGAGCTCAGGAGGCTCCCACATCAAGAATAGAGGTGATACTTAAGCCCAGTGTGTAATGGAAACAAGGCGGGAGGTGGGGGAAAGGGCTTTCAGACTAAAGACAGTTTGGACAAGGCATGATGGTATAAAAAGCATGGGGTATGTAGGGACCTACCTGCAGCTGAGGTGGGGCTAGCCACCCACCTTCCCCTATGAGGAGGGGAAGATGAGGGAGTGGGGCAGGCTGGGGCCACGGGACTTCTCAGCCCCTGGGGAGAGGCCGCATGCTATGGCCCCTGATGTTAAATCCATCCCAGGCTCATTCCAGGGGGGGACTTTGGTGGTCTGAGCGCCCCAAGGCCTGGGGTAAGTCACTGCTGTGCTGAGGTATCCTCTTTTAGGCTGAAAAGAGACCCCCACCGCCGCCCCCTGCCGCCTTCATTTCTGGGCCTCCTGATCTGGAACTACCACACCTGAAAGCTTATCTCTCACCAGATCACCCTCCCTTTTCCTGATGAAGAAACTGTGAACCAGAAAAGCGCCATGATGTGCTTGAGGGTACAGAGCAAAATAGCACAGCAGTGACTCGAATCCAGACCTCTGGACTCCCTGCCCAGTGCTCTCTTCCTCACCTTGTTCTGTAGCGGGTCCTGGACGCTTGGTCCAGCAGGAACAGGGCATGTGTGAGTTCGATGCAGATGAGCCCCCAATAATTCAGAGGCCTAGGGCTGCTATGGAGGGTGCAGGGTGTCAGGGGTGGAGTGTTCAAGGCCCCTTCCGGTCTCCAACACCCCCTGCTACTAGGGGTACCCAGGCAGCCTCAGTTCCACCATGGAAGGCCTGACAGGGCAACTGCTCTCCCCCGGGCCTGCTAGGTGCGCCCAGTGCTGTGCTGCTGCTTGGGAAGAAGCTGGGGCACCTTGTGACATGGGCAGCCATCTCCTTTCCTCTCCTTGATCTGGAAACTCTAGTTCCTCTTAGGACAAGACACAGAAAGCAGCAAAGAACCAATCTGGGGATGGTACCCATATTCTTATCTCAGCTCTGTTACCAGCTGTGAGCTCTCAGCCTGCTATATCCCCTGTGTGGGCACAGAACCCCATTCCTTCAGCTTCTAATTGAGACTCAAACCCTGAAAACAACAGTAGCCGCCACTTCTCCAGCATCTGCCATGTGCCTGAGTCTGCTGCGGGTTCTTCATACATTATAACTTCTTGTTGCTCCTCCTCACCGCCTTTTGTCTTCCTCTCCCTATTCTATAGATAAGAAAATGTACACTCAGAGGTTAAGGAACATCCTCAAGGTCACACAGATAGGAGGAGGAGGAGGAACTGGGATTGAAATCCCCAGAGCAGTGTGGAGATCACCCCGCAGGCTGTAGACACCTGGGGGCAGGGACTGATTTGGGTGTCTTGCCCAGTAGATCCTCCTTCCACTGCTCTGAACACAAAATACCTCATTCATCTTGCCACAAAGGAATCATCTAGGTGTAGGATTCATGGTCACAAACTGCCTGGTGCCTGCAGAAGGGACTTCGACTTCCAGTCCAGTTGGGGAAAGTGGGACAGGCAGGTAAAGAGACTGAGAACTGGCTGAAGGAGCTAAGGCAGCTGCTGTAGGCTATCAGGGAAGGCTTCCTGGAGGCAGTGGCAGTGGAACTAGACCTTGAAGGGAAGCAGGAGAGTGACAGGGGTATGATAAGTCTTGTCATGTTTGCTGGATTTGAGCTCTTGGACTTGGAGGGCAGAGCAAAATGTCACCTGTCTTCACGCAGTGTTCAGATGCCTAAGGAACAAAGAAGCTTGTCTCTCCCGTCCTCTGCCCTTGGTCAGCAAGGCAGTCTGTGGCCTGGTGGGGCTGTGGGAAGCCCTGTGGTCCGGCTTGCAGACCAAGCACATCCTGGTTGCCCCACCGCCCTCCTGACTGCTCCCAGACTCACTACGCTCTCCTCCTTCCCCTGCAGCCAAGAAGACCTGTGCGGACAGTGACTTCACCTGTGACAACGGCCACTGCATCCACGAGCGGTGGAAGTGTGATGGCGAGGAGGAGTGTCCTGACGGCTCCGATGAGTCCGAGGCCACTTGCAGTGAGTCCTGCCCCTCAGGCTGGGTGGGGGTGGGCCTCGGTTTCCTCCTCAGATCTTCCTTATTGAGAAGCTGTGAGGCTCAGGAGAGGCGACCAGTTGAACACTGTGCCACGCCCTCAGGGCGCTCCTGGTAAACAGGTGTGTTTAGTTGCTGGTTTCTACTGTCCTGTGTCTGGGCTTTCTTCACAGCCCTCTTGCGGATTGGACCCTGTTTCTGTGGCAGCAGCAGCTAGAAACAGTCTTGTCAAGCCCTTCTGCCCAGAAGGAGCCCTAGCGTGTCCTCCAGGCCTCCCTGCTGCTGTTCTTGAGAACTCCGACCATAATTCCAGGAGTGCCAATGGCAGCTGGCGCTTCTTAAGCCTTTACCATGTGCTAAGCTCTCTGTGTGCATTAATGCTTTTTATCCCCACAGCAGCCTCATGAAGCAGACACTGTCATTTTCTGAGTTTTGTAAAGGAGAACACTGAAGCTCAAAGAGGTTGAGTGACTTGCCCAAGGCTACCCAGCCAAGACGCTGAGGCCCTGGCCCATTCCTCTATCCTGGGTGGGCTGAGCCTTGGAGCTCCTGCCTCCATCACCAGCTGGGTGGTGGCAGAGGCAGGCGGGGGGAGGTGGAGGCCAGAGCTGAGCCCCAGGCCTGCCCCCTACACTCAGGGCTTTGTCTCTCCATGATTTATTTTCCAGGCCCTAATCCTCAAAGCAAACTTACACCCGGCAGGTCATTCCGTGACATTTGTTAAATTAAAAAGGAGATGAGAAGGGGGCGGGGAAGGACCCCACAGTCCAGAGGCAGAGCTTCAGCAGCGTGAGCCCGAGACAAAAGGCTCAGGCGAAAGCATGTGGAGGATGGTGGGGCTGGCGGGGACCCGAGAGCCCCTCTTTAGGGGTAACAGTCGCCCCAGAGGCAGAGGTGGGGACAATGGAGACCGGAGTCCCATCTAATGCTGTGGCTGGTGATAACTGGGTTTCCTTGTCTCCTAGCAACAGAGCTACCAGTCTCCACATAAGAGAAAGAGAAAGGGAGAGAGAGAGAGAACAGAGCAAGAGCGGCCCCCACCCGAGACAAGGAGCCCTCATTTCCTCGTACAGCTGCTCCTGGCCTCCCCAGCCATGCCACAGGCCCCATCCTTTCCTCACCCATCACGTGGCCAAACTCCATGCTGTACTGGAGGCTCCCAGGCAGGAGGGAAGCCCAGTGCTTTGTCCTGAGCTTCAGAAGGAACAAAGCCCCGCCACGCCCATTTGTGACTTTCATCCTCTTGGCAACCTAAGGAAGGAGGGGGATCCCCATGTAAAGAGAAAGAAACTGAGGCTGGAGTCGGTTCTCCCCCTTGCCCAAGGCTGCCCAGCTAACAAGAGGCAGAGTCGTGTGCAGCCTGGAGTGTGTGCTTGGGGAGGGGTTGTGGCTACAGGGGGCTTTTCCTTCACTGCAGTCAGCCAGCTCCTCCATCCGTACCGCACTCCAGCAGATACTCCGACACTGGGGACGGAAAGGGAAGGGAGAGGAGCCTCATTGTGGTTATTAGAGGGGGCTGCCTTGCTACCTGAGGGCTGGGCTCCCCTTCTCCCCCCGCCTCCACACTCCCATCTCTATCTCTTTGTGTGGATGTCCCTTTTCATCTTCCTTTCTGTCCCCTTCAGGGTCCCACCCACCCCTGCCCTCTTGGGCTGCCTCCCTTCCCTGCTCATCTCCTATCCTCACCCTCCCTCTCGCCATCTCTCCCCCCTGCCCTACCCATGTGTCCCTCTGTCTTTCTCCCTCTTGCCCATCCCAGCAACTGCTGCCTTCCCACCCCCTGGGCTGGGCAGGGGCCCTCCTGCCTCACTCTTCCTGCCTCCCAGGCCCGCTTTTCACAGTTGAGGGACAACTGGAGACCCAGAGAAGTTGATAGACTTCCTTCAGAGACACACAGCTTATTCATGGCAGGTCTCCCTTTTATGAAAAAAGGCTCTTCGAGCTCTCTGAGGTTTCACAAGGCACCTGTGGGAGCAGTAGCCAGAGCAGCACCCCAGGAGACAGAAGCCCAGCTCTTCTGTGGGTTCTCCCAGCTACTCACCGTGAAGCCCTGCATACCTTCCCACCTCCCTCTGGGTCCTGATCAGTAACATTCCAGGATTCCAGAATCTTCTCCATTCCTAGATTCCTAAACTCTTAGTATTCCGAGACCCCTTTTCTCCCTCGCTTGTGCTAGCTGGGGTGCAAGAGCCATGATGCCCACTTCCTGTATTACATTGGTCGGGTGGAGGCAAGGCAGAAGACTGCCTGGAGGAAGCTGGCCAGGGTGGGAGCGCCAGTCAGGGTCAGGCAGAATTTGGGGCAGCAGGACCTGATAGCAGGCTTGCTCACTCCTTCCCAACTGAATGAGAACCTAGCAGCCAACCTACTATCCATTTAATTGGTGTTGCCATAGCAACCTCCACGGCCTACCAGGTTCCTGGGGCCGTGCCAGCTCCCAGGATGGAGCCCCATTCCCTACCCCTAAAAGAAAGATTATAGGCAGTAAAGTGTAGTGAGTTTGGAATCGGATATAGTTGGGTTCAGGTCTTTTAACCTGTCAGATCTCAGGCAAGCTGCCCAGTCATCCTGAGCCTCAGTTTATTCATCTGTAAAATGTGGTGATGGACCTGCCTTAGAGGGATTGTGAGAATCAAATGAAAGAATGCAAGTGTCATTGCTGGAGTAAATGGCAGTGTTATTTGTATTATTATATTTTGGCTGCAAGCCCTCTCTCCCCAACACAACAGTTTGTTAGATATTAAGATGTTAGATTCTTATAGTATTAAAACAGTGTCAGTGAAGGGGTTTGCACTGAGCGGGAAAGGGATTTGAGAGAAGGTCCCAATTCTTGTGTTTTCCCCCATTATATTGTCTGACCCTAGCTGGCTGGGGTTTCTCCCAGCTGTTTCCCTCTGGTTCTGGGTTCTGTACCTTCAAATGTAGCGAGGACTCACAATGGAAAAGCCCAGAACATTTGCCTAGTGGCAATAGCATTTCAGCTCTAATTATAGCTCACTTGATTGGGGATGGCTTCTGACCCACCTTCAAGCATCTGTTGGGAGGGGTGAGGGTGGGGGAGGGAAGGATGGTTCAAGGTGAGTTATAGTTCTGGATGCTATTTATTTGAATATGGAAGCTTTTTCATGCATCTTAGAACCTTTCCACCTGGAAGGGGGGCCTCTATGATTAACCAGGATTATCTTCCTATTACAGATCAGAATATGGAGGCCCAGAGATTTTCTGAGCTCACTCAGTAAGTTAGAGACTGACCCAGCTAGCAGCATTTTGCCTGGCCTCAACCGAAGGAACTTGGTGTAACTCCTCGTCCTGCACCTTGGGTGGCCCCATGCTGTGCTTCCTGTGGCAGGAGCTGTACTGAGTGACACTAGCAGTTCTCACCACCCGAGCCTCTGGTCCCTTAGAGCTGGCAGTCCCCATTTGGAGGTTATCTGCCCCTAAAACTCACGTGGGTTGACACTATAGATGTGCTCCCTCAATGAGCAGCCGCCAAGTACTTTCATTCTTTAATTTAACAGACATTTCCCTTTTTGTTAATTTGTGAATTTATGAATTGGAGAAAGTACCAATGGATTTGAATTTCTGGGGCAGGATTCTCTGGGAATTTAAATGCCTTTAAATGCCTTGAGTCACTACAGGATACAGAGTTTCATGAAAAGCCCCCTTGCCAGCTTTGGAGGGTTCCTGTTGTCTGGGAGACAGTGGGATTCTTCATTCCTGCCTCTCAGAACCTAGGGTACTTGGAGAGCAGGCCAAAGGCATATGGTCCCCTCAGGGGGCATCTGTCACAGAGGGAGTGGCTATCCTGGGATGGGGTCTGCATCGTGGTGGACCATGTGGACTCATAATGTGCATTCCCCAGTGGTGACACCAGGCCCCTCCCCAGCCATTGGCATTTGCACTTCATGAAATTAAACAAGGGCAAGTGTTTTCTGAGCTCCTAGTTTGTTCTAGGCTCTGAGTGTAGGGATTTCCATGTTTCCTCATTTAAGCCATCCACTAACCCTAGGAGATTATTCAACCCCATTTTCAGATGAGGGGAACCAGAGTGCAGAGAGGTTCAGTAAGTTGCCTAAGGACCTTAGTATTAGTAAATGAAATTTGGGCCCAGGTCTGTGTGTCTCTAAAACTCAGGCTCTTTCTCCTACATCATGCTGCTGGGAGCCCTTGGGCTTCAGTTGTCCTGAGAGTGGACATCAGATGGCCATCGTGCAGAACCTGCCCAGAGGCTCAGTGAGCCCCCTTCCTCCAGTGACCTCTCTCCAGGCCAGAGGTGCCAGGGAGACCAACAGGATCTGCTTTTCTCTTGTGCAGTCATTAGGTGCAGTAAGTTAAGCAGTGTGTTTGGACCTGGGATGGAAGTCCAGATCTGCCTCTCACCACTAGACTTTGAACAAACAACTTACTCTCTCTGGGCTTTACTTTCTTCATTCATAAAATAGAGGTAATAATATCCACTCATAGGGTGATACCATGTGTCAGTAATTACCCAGACCAACTTCCCAGGACTGTGGAGTGGAGAGGCCTGACATAGGACCCTGTGAGCCAGGCTCCAGTCCTACCTTTGGGGGAAAGCTACAACACAGGAGAGACTGAGGTTCCAGGAGAGACAGGAATTGGAATACCCAACTGCCAGTAGCTGTGTGACCCTAGGCAGGTCCCTTCCCCTCTCTGGGCCTTGGTCTCCTGCCACTCCAAGCGTGTTCATCAATGTGACCTCTGAGGTCTCTCAAGTCCTGCATTCCAAAAGCCTTGGCTCTTTGAGGGTGGAGGGCTGTTATCAGGCACTGCTGAATCCTCGAGAGCCTATAATTAGAGCTGTCTATTTAGGGACACAGCAAATGTCTTATTAATTATAAAGAAAGGAAGCAGACAGATTGTTTAATCATTGTCCTTGCTGAAAGGTTATGCAATTAACTATATAAATATTCATTAAAAGTTCAAGCAGCTGCTTGCTGCACTGGGGTCTCTAGAACCCAGGCCCCTGGAGGTGAAGCATACAGCCAAGGGCCCTTTCAGTCACCTGGGCTTTTGGGAGGAGAGTTTGGGGATAGTTTTGGAGCATGTAGGGTTTGATGGACAGGCAAGGCTCTAGTCATAGGAACCCAGGCTCGGTCTCTCGCCTGCTGTGCACCTTTGGGCCAGTTACTTGGTCTCGCTGAGCCTCAGTTTCCTCATCTATAAAATGGAGTGCTTACCTGCAGGACTGCTGCCCTGCTGTACTCTGGGTATGCCACTTATGTGGCGACCTTTGTAAATGGCACCCCTGGAATTTGCACTGGCAGCCCACAGGGCCTGCTTACCTTACAACAGACATTTATTGCTCACAGTTCTGGAGGCTAGGAAGACCAAGATCAAGGCACCGGCAGTTTCAGTGTCTGGTGAGGGCCCATTCCTCATAGACGGCACCTCCTTGCTTCATCCTCACATGGTGGAAGGGGCAAGGAGGCTCCCCCTGGCCTCTTTTCTAAGGGTACTAATCTCATTAATGAGAGCTGTACCATTATGGCTTAATCACCTCCTAAAGGCCTCACCTCTTAATGCTATCACATTGAGGATTAAGTTCCAACATGGATTTTCAGGGGATACTGATGATCAGACCATGACAGAATGAAATGAAAACATATAAAATTCTCATCACAGAGCAGCCTGACACAACGTAGCCTGACACACCGTAGCCTGACACAATGTAGGTGTTCAAAAACTGGGAGTCCCCTCCTACTTCCTTGAGAGGTTCTGTTTCCTGAGGCCTGGCTTAGGGATAAGTAGTTGCTTTGACCTTCCTTCCCATTGCTGTCTTAGGGGCTTGCAAGTATATGGAACATCTGTATCGCTTTTATGGTAGTGAATTGAAAAGAGATGAAACATCCCGTGTCTTTTATGCTTGCAACCCAGGGGTTCCCAAATGGAGGTGCATGGGAATCACCTGGGTTTTGGTGAGGAGTTACGAAAATGCAGATCCCTAGGCTCTGCCCTAGAAGTCTAGATTCAGCCGGTATGAGCTGAGGCCAGGAACCTGCACTTTCAGTAGCTCCCTCATCCCCCATCCTTTGATGAGAGGACCCCCAGCGAAGCACTGGTCAGCTTCAGCTTCCTGTGTTCCAGTGGGGCCCAGAGGGGAGGTGCTTACCTGGGGTCCTGCAGTGTTGGTGATAGAGGTACCCTGGAAGGACCCCATCTCCCAACTCCCAGTTTCCCTTCAGCACCCTGCACTGCAGCCCCAAGGTGGCCTTTATAAGAGGCCTTTGAGTGTCAGTACTTTCCAGAGCTCAACCTGACAGTTCTTTGCTCATCCATCCCACAAGTTTGCCAATCCTCGAGCAAGGGAAGTTTCTGTGAAAACGAATCCCAGGAATCCTGCCTTCCCAAGGAATTGCCCTGTACTCATGAAAACATTCCTAGGGATAACCTTGGGGACCTCACTTTCAGAGGCCTAAGGTACTCTTCTCCCATGGCAGTAGTGGTGTCTGGGGACCTTGATGCAGATACCTGCCCCCCTCCTCAACTCATCTGTGCCCTTTTCTATATCCCTTGTGGTCTCTCATCCCAGCTATAGAAATAGGAAGAGGAGAAACTGGTCTGAGATCAGAGAGCAAAATGGAGGGTGAGGC